CTTGCGCTAGAGGCACGGCTGATACACTTTTCAGATCTACACAACTGCGTTTGATTTCGCGTGGGTCGGATTTTAGAAAGCTACAATTCACAGTCAGCAGCAATAACGACCCTGTCTCGGCAGCTGTGGGCCCACACTGCACGTGACCTAAGTACAGCGTTCGAGAGGTGAGGTTCCAGCTGTGAGGTCTTGTCACGACACGGCCCATCCTATCTGAGGCATTACTCGTTTCGACCAGGGCGGAACTGTATTGACCGAGCTAGCTGGCTCAGCCGGTGATTTACCTGACGTCTGTTAGAGTGACGGGGGGCAAGCGGTAGCGTAGTTGGTTGAGATATTATGCTACAAGCCGGAAGGTCGTGGATTAAAGTCCCGATGAGGTGGATTTTTCAATTTTCCTTCCAGCAGCACTATGGCCCTGGAGTCGACTCAGAAATGAGCGCCAGTAATCTTCCTGGAGAGGGGGGGAAGGCGGCTGGCGCGTAAGGCTGACAACCTCAGCCCCATCTGTGAACCGATTGTGTAGAAAATGTGGGAGCCTCGACGTCTCACAACCCTATGGGCCTCCACGGCCTGTTACAGGGATAACTTTACCTTTATCTGTGAGATAGACGTTTGCATAACATCTCGGTCGACACACTGACTTCTTGACTGATAATTTTCGCGTTCTTTCTCAGTCACTCCAGGCAAATTCATCGATAAAACTTCAAATTACGACACGGAAACTTCCTTGCAGATGTTTCTAATTCATTATTCACTAATCATTCCAATATTCCACGCTGTATACTTCTAGGTAAAGTTGTCCCTGTGCTTAATTAATTAAACACCACGCCGTGAAGACTTGTGTGCGAGTGGAGGTATCGCTGCACCATTCTTGACCTCGGTAATAGATGGAGGTGAGTGCCGCTTTAACGCCGGTAGAAGAGCCCCCCCCCCTTCCTAGGTACTCATTGCAGAGCAGACTGGGTGCGCCCCAGAGTCGGTCTGGATACTGTGCAGTAGAGAAAAATCTTTCCGTACGGGGAATTAAATCTGGGCTGACTGAGCTATCCCGGCTCTGTCGTAATGTAAGCTGTAAACAAATAATGCCACATTTGTCGTGTAGTGGTTAAGTCTGCCGGTCCATAGTCAGACGTTCAAGGATTGTGATATTTTAGGTTCCTGTTGTTGTTACATTACATTACATTACACCATGTAGTCTTGTAGATTGTTACCGACATTTTGGAGAAACATTCTACCTCCATCTTCAGAGTGGAAAAGTAGTATTCCACCCCGATGATGGAGATATCAAGTTGCTCTGATAGGTTAATGAATATCTACCGAAGTATACGGCGTCAGATATCAGACAAAAAGTATATCAAACATTACAATGACCGCTGTGATAACTTTCGCTCTCCTATAATAGCGAAACACACCATGATAAAGAACGTGGGTTATCATGGCGGTGTTTGTCCAGATTGCGATGTTCTGTTTTGTGACGTCCTGTAGTCTTGTAGACTGATGTGATGTTGCAGTGGTATACTTCAACCCTGAAGATGGAAGCAGCGTCTTCCCTGGAAATTCGGCGATATCCGTCTACAAGACATTTACACACATACACGAGGAATGAGAGGGGGGATTCTCATAGGGCACACAGCAGAGGGGTCTTCATAATGGCCATGACGCAACAGTGGCCGGCCGGAAGGAAATCGGTTTATGGCTCCTGAGTCAGTCTGCAACTCCTGAACTAATGTTATAACTTGCTAGTGGAATACTCCTCGAAAATGGAAGGGGGAAGTTTGAGAGTTTGTTCCCATTTCTAGCTGCAGTTTCCACATTTAACCCTTCCTTTGAGCCACACTTACACGTTACAGCCCTTGAGAGAGACTTGGAAATCACGGTTTCACTCAATATGTAGGCTGTGAACTTGGAAATTTAGCCTGTGTCCAACCCCCACACGGAGGATCACCATTTTTTTTTTGTTTCGTGTAACTGGATAATGTAAAATATTACACAATGAAAGAGTTTGATAATTTGAACTCTTCAGCTGATATGAACAAGAAAATTACACTGTGGGAGATTATAGGGGACGGACATATAGCACGCATGGAGAAATACCATATGCATAACAAGAAGTTCTGGGAAGAATAGATTGCCTACTTGCGTTTGATACAACACGGACCGCATAGAAAACGACGCGTCCAATAATTCTTCTATTGCATGTATATTCGTTTCCACAGTAACATGTTTACCCAGCCGTTGTCTGGCAACGGTAGTAGGGACACACAGACTGATGGGAGGGATTTATGAAATGCGCTGTTGAGATGGGCTCATTTGCCGTGAAGTACAGTACATACAAAGTTTCGTAAAGATTGGCTCAAGCGTTCGAAATTTGATAGGGACGGATTAACAGACGCACCGACAGCATGGTGATCTCATAATCTTACTTTTATTTTTTCCAAAATACGGAAAATAGTAATATTTTAGTGTGAAGCCCTGAAGGAAGTAGGACCACCTGCGAGACCTGGGTTTAGAAAATAGGATAACATTAAAAGAATGGTTATGAAGGCGTGGACTCTATAGTAATATCTCAGAATATGGTCCGATCCTAACTTTTGTAAACGGTAATGAAACCATGGGTTCCATGAAAGAGGACAATTTGTTGATCAGCTGGTCCGGGTTCGATCCCGGGTCTGGTCAAGTAGGATTTGTGGTGGACAAAGTGGCGCTGGGGCAGATTTGCTCCGAGTACTTCGGTTTCTCCTGCCGGGGCCGCCGCGGTGGGAAGCCAGCGACCAACCTCTTGAGCTATGGCGCGGACTACAAGGGACTTAGTCCCACCCCACTAACAATAAAAAAGGTACCTAACAAAGTTTGCAAGAAAAATACTTTGCTGTGGGGTTAATTAAGGTGCAAGACTTCCCCCCCATAGTGAAAGTTCGTGGCACGGAATAGCGAGATAAACCCATTGAATGTGGCATAATAATGTATCGGCTTCCACGTTCTCTTTTGTTTACGCCATGTAACTAACAGATGGCATCAGAGTCGTGCATGCGATTGAATAGCGCTCTGAATAAACTGGAACACGTTGAATTCCTTGCTTGCCATGAAGCATCGTCACTGTCATGAAATACAGGAACGACATTTCACTTCTTTCCTCATAACTTGGAAGCTTATGACGTCATAGCGAATGAAAGCTTGAGTTCACGCGTAAAAATGCTCAACTCGTTACAGATTTGCTCACAAAGCGTTGTGGCGTTATCTGATGTTAAAAGTGAATATGAAATGTTTCGAGACAGTGTATCCCACAAAAGAGCTTCATAATTTATGTAACAATGTTGTTAATAAAAAGTAGAATTAGAATGATCAAGTCAAGGAGGATGAGATGGGCAGGGCATATAGCACGAATGTAGGAGAGGAGGAATGCATATAAGATATTGGTGGGAAAGTCGGAAGCAAGGAGACCACTGGGAAGACCAAGACGTTGGTGGGTGGACAATATTAAAATGGATCTTAGAGAAACAGAATGGTATCGAATAGATTTGATTGATCTGGCTCAGGATAGGGACCAGTGGAGGGCTCTTGTGAATACGGTAATGAACCTTCGGGTTCCATAAAATGCTGGGAAGTTCTTGAGTAACTGCGCAATTGGCAGCCTCTCAAGAAGGGCTGAGCTCCATGAGTGAGTGAGTGATGTTGTTAACCGAAGGGAGCACGGTGTAACGTAGATGCTTAAGACAATATGCTACAAACCGGAAGGTCGCGGGTTCTATTTCCGATGAGGTAATTGGGTTTTTCAATGACCTAACCCTTCCAGCCGCATTATGGCCCTGGTGTTGACTGAGCCTCTAACAGAAATGAATTCCAAGAATCTTCCTGGGGGATAAAGGGCGGCCGGCGCGTGAGGCTGACAACCTAACCGCCATCTGTGAGCCGATTTTCTAGAAAATGTGGGAGCCTCGGCGTCTCACAACCCTATGGGCTTTCATGGCCCGTTACAGAGATAGCTTTACCTTTTTATATGATACTTACAAAGACGCGGTTTCTTGCATCGCAGTGAGGCACTGAGAGTTCCAAGGATCAGGACGCGTCCGTTTGTAAAGCGTCAGTAAATTTGATGGAAATGTAGTGACGCAAGAAGTGTATTACCATTGTACGGCGACTTTAATTCACGTTGAAGAGCGCGGTCTAATTTTCAGATGTTTCGGAAGGACATACTGCCTCCATCTTCAGTGTTGAGGATTAAACCAAACAAGCAGATTATTACTCACAATTTCTGAGATTTTCACAGCCATAATTGTTCAGATTTTTTCTTCTCGCTTATGACACCATGTAGTCCTACAGGCAGATACGTTTCGAAAGAAAACGCCGTCTTGATCTTCAGGGTTAAAGTCTTCCTGAAAACAGTGTGTCCCTAGAAGAGTCCATCCTTTCTCACGGCTACATTTTCCACTTGTGATGAGAACATAGTGTGCCACTTAGAATTGCCGTTTGGTTTCCCCCGTCCTGACTAGGCTGCATTGGCCTTTATTTCATCACCCACTCCCCTGGGTCTGAGTGACCTCCTTCCTTGCAATGTGTTTATATAACCTACACAGTCTAAAACTGAGGATGGAGGCAGAATGTTCCTACGAAACATCGGTATCCTCTTAAGAGGCTACACGGTGTCACAAGCGAGACGAACATAATATGACTAGTCTTCGACTTTCACTTAAACCCGGAAGAAGGATTTAGTACGTTCCACCGAAACATGGGTCCCAAACCCCCCATCGTTACTTGTCACTGTTGTAGACGTGAGAACCTCAGCCCCACTTGGTTAATGAGGCTGATTACGGACAGAGAGGGAGAAAATTTGGTCTCCTCCGGTGGAACTGAAGTGAATTGAGGAATATTTTTAGTCTGATTTGCGACCTTGGTGAATTGAGCAATGTCACCGTTGAAGGGAGTTGGAAGGAAATAATGAACAGACTCGTTTCTTTTTTAATTTTGTTGGTATAATTTTATTCATAAAAATTCATTGTTTAGAAAAAATATTTTACATGTGAAAAGTACAAAAATAAGTTAAAGTGTATTGCACGTAGTTTCTGCTGAACGTCTCCGTCCGGCATGAAATTTCAGCCGAAGACTTTGTTCCGTAAGAGACAAGGAAGAGAAACCCTGTTATTACTGCGCAAGAAAGTCAACGAGTTATGAAAATGAAGCGGTTCGAAGAGACAGTTGTTGTGTGCTGTGAAGTGGCAAGCATGCAAGCCATTGACGTTCTCACAAGTTGTATTACATCGTCAGAAGTTATGAAACAGTTCACGTTTCGAAACGCTTGTCTCATCTGCTGTTTCCTCTTTCGTTGAATGATAAGATACGGTTATCCCTTTACCTGATTAAGCACCACAACGTGCGGGCGCATGGTGGAGGGAAGGTAGAACTCCACGTATTCTAAAAACCTCGGCACTAAGTTGACGTGAGTGGCCACATTCACGACCCGTATGCTTTAACCTCCAGTACGCGTTTCATGGGAGTCTGGCTGGACCTCTGGACCGGTCTGGTGAAGATAATATTTGTAATCCCGAGAAATAGAACCCCGATTCTCTAGTCGTCTAGCTAGTAGCGTGGACGCTATGTTGACTGCGAAGGCTCTGGTTTCATGGAGAGAACCTGAACAGTTTTTTTGCGTCTAGTTCGCCAGAGGATTGAAAGTTTCGAAATTCGGGCGTTGAAGTTGAATTGAATTTCGAGGATGGAATTCATCTTGTACGAAAAGCCACTTGACGAACAAATTTTAAAGAAAATGTAGTAACTTGTGAAATGTGTAAAGGGGGTGGTGGAAGTGTGCCTAAAGGACCTTAATGGTAGCCATAACCACCATAACCAAGACCATAAGCCGGTGCGGCATAACCATAACCACCATATCCGGCATATCCTAAACCATGACCATAAGATATGGCAGGAGCTGCATAGGTGGCGACCTTAGCGATGGCGGGAGCGGCAGCGTATCCCAGAGCGGGGGCGGCAGCATATCCCAGACCGGGGGCGGCAGCGTATCCCAGTCCATGTGCTGTGGAGTAGCTAACCTGGGAAACATGTGAAGTGGGGGCTGCTATGGCTGCCACAGCGGGGGCGGCGGCGTATCCAAGGCCGTGACCAAGTCCTGCATAACCCAGACCGGCGCCGTAACCGTACCCGCCGTAGCCAAGACTCGCAAGACCTCGCTTTTCCTTTTTCTCCTCAGCAAAGGCACTGACGGCCAGAGCAAGCACGATACAAACCTAGAGACAGCAAAACGAAAGTCATTCATGCACAAGTTCAGACCTGCTATTCTCTCATGAACAAATAATGTATTCATATAAAACCTTAAAAACTTCAGATTTAGTGAAGACGTTCCCCCTACACATATATCTTGACTATGAAGTTCAGATATAATGCCAACAGATATCACATGCTGTCAAATGTACCAAGTTTTGTAAGGGTCGAAATTTTCGACGCTTGGCATTTCTAGGTTTAAGCGCTCTGCTGATGGACAACATGAAGTTGAGAGGGAGTTTCTGAGGAATCTGGAATTGACGAAAATAAAGTACGTGTAAATAAGGACTCCATGGCTGGAGTATGTAGGCAGTAGTTTATCAGCGTTCCGTCTCAAGCAGTATAATGTAAAGCAATGAACATCTCCCGTATGGTATGTCTAGGTTCAGAGGACCGTAGGTACAAGGGATAATAATCACGTGAGCAAGTAAGGAGTTCCAAGCAGAACTGACGCCGTTTTCCTGTCCAACAGACCGGTTAATATTATTATTAACGTAATTTGATTTTGTTTTAAGAACATATTACTTAGTGTGTTTGAGAACAGGGTGCTGAGGATAGCATTCGGACCGGACAGATGAAGCGATGGGAGATTGGAGAAACCTACATTATGAAGAGCTTCATGACTTTTACTCTTCGCCAAGCATAACTAGAATGATCGAGTCAATGAGGGTGAACTGAGAAGTGCATGGGGGAGAAGGGGAGGTCATATAGAATATTGGTGGGAAAACCAGTAGGAAAGAGACCACTAGGAAGAGCTAAACTTACGTGGTTGGATAATACTTAAATGGATCGTAGAGAGATAGGATGGGGTGGATTGATCTGGTTTAGCATAGGGACCAGTGAAGGGCTGTTGTGAACAAGGCGCTGAGGAGAATATTTGGACTGAATAGGGAGGAAGTGACGGGAGGTTGGAGAAAACTACGTTATGAGTAGCTTGATAAATTTTACTATTCGCCAAGTATAATTAGAATGAAATCAAGGAGGATGAGATGGGCAGGGCATGTAACACGCTTGGGAGAAGAGACTTGCTTATATGATACTGGTGGGAAAGTCAGAAGGAAGGAGACCACTAGAAAGATCTAGACGTAGTTTGGTGAATAATATTAAAATGGATCTTAGAGAGATAGGATGGGGTGGTATGGGCTGGATTGATCTGGCTTAGGATAGGGACAAGTGGATGGCTCTCGTGAACAAGGTAAAGAGCCTTCGGGTTCCATAAAATGCTGGGAAGTTCTTGAGTAGCTGCACAACTGGCAGCTTCTCAAGAAGGGTTCAGCTCCGGGAAGTTAGTTTTGTTAAGAACGCAATGCTTAAGCACAGATTCTTTCTGCGTCCTTTGTCGGATGTAACCGTCCGAAGTTCGTTTACATCGGAAAAGATGTTGCACCTGTAAGTATTTTTCTCGATAGATTGGTAGAGTGCTATATTGAGCAATTTCCGCTTGACATTTCCAATTGGTTATTAATAATAGCGGTAGCGGCCTCCGTAGTCTAGGGGTAACGTTCCCACCTCGTGACTCAAGGTACGCGGGTTCAAACCCGGCGGAGGTCGTGGAATTTTTAAGGGCGGAAAAATTCAGGGAACAAGTCCTCCGGGAGGGACTTTAAGCCGTGGGTCCCGTGTCGTAGCTTTACGGCACGTAAAAGAATCTCATGTCTCCAAAGGAGGCCACTGAGCAAAATTACGGACGTTTCCCGCCCAACAGTAGTCTCTAACACCTCTGGTAAATGGGGGAAGCATTAAAGACACCGCTCAGCTAGTAGAGACCGATCTCGCTGGCTGGGTGGGACTGATGGTAAGCACCAGTACCGGTAGGATATAGAGACTGGTAGAATATTATAGAGGGAAGCACAATGGACCAAGACAGGTCTAAGTGCATGGGGAAACCCACCCTCTCCAATAACTAACTAACTAATAATAGCGGTAATAATAGTTTAAAAGGTTTTGTTTAAAATTACATTATAACCAGTAACCGCGGTAATACTTGTGTAGCTACGTAGTATTCATAGTAGTCATATTGTAAATGTTTGGGTTCGAATTATAAATATGTGGAGAATTCCCCAGAAAAAGTAACTGTTATACTTTATACATACCGTATATTCGAATAAACACACGCCTCGGGGTCGCTGTGCAGTTGTTACTCTGTCAATATTTATGTTAGCAAGCAATTATAGATAGAAACAGAAGATGGCAGCACTGGAAAATATGATTGAGTCGGTGTTACAGTGTTCACTTTTACCGTAAAGAATCCTCGTACATAGCAGCACTATAATGAATATTGTTATTCTGGCAAGTTAAATTTCCTAATATGAATGTTAACTGTCTTTCAGAAACTTCTTTTACGTTATTAAGGTTAGATATCTTTGACGGATTGTATTTTTCACAATTTCATTCTGTAATGTTAAAGGGCTCCACGACAATTTACATGAGACGCCGTTCACAGTGGCCGCGCGGTCTAAGGCATGAACTTTCTTCGCTCGCTCGAACGCTGGGATCGTGGGTTCGAATCCCACTTGGAGCATAGCTGTCTGCGTTTATTCTCTGTTTATGCTGTCTTGTATGTAGGTAACGGCCTTGCGATTGACTGATCCCTCGTCCAAGGAGTCCTACCATCTGTGTACAAAGGTAAAATTGTCCCTGTGCTTAATTAATTAAGCACTATATCATGAAGACGTATGGGGGAGTGGACGTATAGATCCACATTTTCTTGACCTCGGCACTAGTTGGAGGTGAGTGATCAGCTTCACGCCTCGGTCGCTTTAACCCCGGGAAAGAGCCTCCTGTACCCATCGTATAGGAGGTTGGATGGACCCCAGAGCCGGTCTGACCAATGCCCAATAAGAGGCTGTAGAGCCATAATAATAATAATAATAATTACATGAGATAGCGAGTGTAAATAAGTAATTGTAGCTCAGCTATCGTCGGCGGATGGACAGTCACGTGAGGTAGAAAGAGGAAATCGTGTCTTCGGTTTTGACGTTCGTGTTCTAACAGCGACAAGCAGGTTGTCGGTTTCTAGCAAGTACCGAGTCATTTAGAGCTACGGAATATGTATTTCCCGGCTCTTGAAGTGCTCGTGCAAATAAGGTGTTAAAAATCTCGCTTTAAGTATATACAGACCAGGCTGCTAATGAATGTTGCAAAAGAAGTGATACCTCGTGACGCCGGGAAGAAGAAATTCGTGACTGATTACGTAAAATTTCGTCAGAGTTGGAAGAGATCTCAGGTGAAAGTACTTATCATGTCCCTGTTAGAGTCATGACCGTGAATTAATGTCTCTTTCTCAGACAACACACCGTTATTGTATCCATGGTAACAGGGCGTTTAAACACTGATACTTATTTAACTAAATCCATGGAACAGATACCTTACTGAAAAGAGATCAACCGCCGTGTTCAGACTTCCTCCTCGCCTCTTGCGGAACCTTTGGGCTCGCAGTAGCATAGTTAGTTGAGACCAGAAGGTTGCGGGTTTGATTCCCGATGAGGTTATTAGATTTTTAAATTGACCTAATCCTTCCAACCTGTGTCCCTGGAGTCGACTCAGCCTCTAAAAAATGAGTATCAGGAATCTTCCTGGGGTAAAGGGCGACCGGAGCTTAAGGCTGGTAGCCTCACCGCCATCTGTAAACCGATTGTCTAGAAAATGTGGGAGCCTAGACGTCTGAATCTTATGGGCGTCCACGGCCTGCTACAGGGAGGGTTGTACCTTTTTTATCATATTACTTTCTGTGAAAAGCGGGTAATGAAAGTACAAACGAGAGAACCGTGATAAAAGCAGTATCAGTAAGCACGTCTCTAATTCAGCACAGTGAACAGACCGGTATTGAATCAGCAGCCTCAAAACTACACTGCTGGTTTGAGGTTTGAGGCTCTGACAGCAGTGGATTAGAAGACCGCTGCCATCTGTGATGTGATGCCTTAGAGTCAGGTTCAAGTGTGCCAACTTTTCGGATGAATATCCCGTCTCCATCTACAGGGTTAAACCTAAAATCCCACCTTGGGCTCTAGGTATCCTGATTGAAGTTTGTCTCGGATTTATTCACTACCTCAGGGCAGATGCTAGGATAGTCCCTTGATTAGGCCACCGTTTCGTTCTAAATATTTTAAATCAATCATTCGTGAACCCCCTAACTTTCAGCACTGTATAACCTAGGTACGGGCAGGGCTCTTAAATACGTCTCACCCCCAGAAAAAAGTAAAACGGAGTAAAGACATAGACCCATAATGTCAACAGCATTTTACCAGAATAGACGGCGTTACATGCGACAAGGCAGTATATAAGAAGGTTCAACACCGCTACGTCATAGCCCCCAGTTGAAATGTTGAAGTATTTTTTCACTCACCAAAACCTTCATGCTGATATTTTGAAAGATGCGTTCCCTCTTTCTTGAACTGAAACGAACTGATAACTGCCCATGGATTGTGCATTCGTATTTATACTCGAACCTCTAAACTTTTGCATATATACGGCAATATTTTTTATCTTCCCCTCCTCCTTTCTTTTTTGTTTACTAAATCCTAGAAATCCCCCACTCGACCCCTTGCAAGTGTCAAACTATGTTTGACACACCCACAACTAGCCTTCTGAGGCTCATGTTCGTTTGAGTTATGCTGTGCAGTGAAAGGGGAGGGGTGGAGCACGATCAGCTTACTGTAAACAGGTTGCACTTCTCTGTGTGGAAACGGAGAGAGTTTCTCATTCTTTGTGTCCCTGAGACTCAGGAAGGCCACGCGCTCCGAGCAGCGGATACCTGTCTTACAGTCAGCGTCACGGCGCCCCAGATCAGGGGGTATATATATCATTTACTACCCCACTCTCCAGCACGTTCTCTATCTTGAAGTTCTGACTGTACTTTTATTTTTATTTTTGTATTGCTAGTGGGGTGGAACTAAGTCCCTTGTACTGCGGCCACTTCTGGCCTATTGTATCAGCCCCAGATGACAGGTGAGGGTGATTGTGGAGCAGTTGGTGTAATAAAGATTGGCAGGGGAGACCGAAGTACTCGGAGAAAACCTGCCCCAGCACCACTTTGTCTACCACAAATCCCACTTGACCAGACCCGGGATCGAATCCGAGCCGCTGGGAAGCCAGCGACTAACCGCTTGAGCTATGGCGCGGCCATTCTGACTACTTAATTAAGCAGCATGTTGTAGAGACGTATAGGTGAGTGGAGTATAGCTCCACTCATTCTTTAACGTCGACACTTGATCGAGGTGAGTGATCTGCTTTACATCTCGGTCGTTTTAACCCCGGGAGAAAAAGCGTGTGGTATCGACTGGATATGAACTGGCTGGGTGGGCTCCAGAGCCGATCTGAAGGCTGTGAGAAGAGAAGAATGCCTTATTAGTCTGGAAATTGTCTTTGAGCTTATTTTGAGTTTATGCAAAAAAACAGTCGGTGGTACGTGATAGAAATGTGAAGGTAGTGTCATTTTGGTGTTAAAATTTAGGAGGTTACGTTTCGTGAATTTGTAAGAATATCGTCCTCAAGCTCTTATTGACACTAGACATCACTGCAATTTCCTTCTCCGTTCCTTCCGAATCATCATTCAAAGTAATCATCATATGTCTTCGTCAGCGTTATATAAATTTAACGGTTGAATTAACGTCTTTAAATATCTTATTAACGTACAGCCTACCTGTATATGCTCTAGGATCTGTGATCCACACAGCAGTGGTTATGAAGAGTTTCATCATCTGCGGTATAACGCCGTGAAGTCCGATGAAAATAAGCCATGTTTCGGAGGAATATATCGCCTTCATCTTCAGAGCTGAAGAATAAACTAAGCAATCAGCCAGAAATAAACAGAAAAGAAGTTCTGCTTGGGTTCGATCTTGAAGATGGAGGCAGTGGTTCCTCCGAAATATCGCCGAAATACAACCGTCCTGCACTGCGTCATCCCAAAAAGTATTGCGCATAATACTCGTGGAACAGTGAGACACTAAAGTAAATGTTGCGAGAATGTGCCTGGCCAGTAAGAACAGTGTGGGTGTATAGACATTGATTGTTGGTCCATGAGTTTAGTATTACTCACGCCGTAACTACATGAATAGTATTGTGACATGGAGACCCATTGCCAAGTTACAGCTGTGTAAACAGGCGACAATACAATAGCCGTTACTAGGGAACAGCTTTGTGGACACTTCGTTTCCCCGACAACGAGAGAACATACAATAATGCAAGAGACGTTTTCTGTGCAGTCTGTGTTAGGGCTATACAGCAAGGACTATTTGTTCATCTCGAATCTAATATGGTTACGAGTCCCGCGGCATTCTGACCCGAGAATGACTGTGCTGGCGAGGGCCAGCAGCAGTTGTAAGTGACACACCCGTCCTATCGTCAAAGAAGGTGCCCCACGTCAACAAACGCGCGACTGTCTGGCAGTAATAAAAATTTGGTCTTGGGCCCCAGATGGGGCGCGTGACACCAAGACTGACTGGGCGACGATCGTAAGGTGAGAAGCTGGCAGCTGAGGCCGGGAACAGTTAGGGAACCCAGAGGAAGGGGAACGTCCATCGTTGAAGCCGCTACCAAGCAACGTCCAGTGAAGGTTGAGAAGACTATGTGTGCTGTAGTTACAGTGATCTTTGGTATATGTAACTCGGTGAGACTGTCGTAGTTATTTGTAGTTACGTTCAATTAATGCGATGACAAATCCAACCCCCGTTTAACGTCGCTTATCACGTGACAGTTTTTTTTTTTGAATGACAAATATTGTGATTAATACTTTCAGTTTAAAAAATTGTGTGGTATTTTTCCAGTAACAGGAAAGTGTTACGGTTATCAACACTCTTATTGAATTTAGAGCGTAAAATCTGTTGAGAAAACATTTCTGTGTACGTTCAGCGTTTTTTATGCTTACAAAAACAAACTTCGGCTAAACGCCTAACCTCAGTAACTTCAATAGCTCTGGAATGACAATTGCATTTGCTCTGCATGCTAAACGCTGCTGCTATCTGGAGACGCTATGAACTCCTTTCGGTAAACTTACACACTGCCTCTGCTACTTTTTACTGCCATATTCTGTACCTATTCGTAACCATTGTCAACTGATTACTGATGTACATAACGACACTACAGAAAACGTTAGCCTTATACAGTAAACCCTCGCTAATCCGGAGTGATTGGGGNGGTCATCCGGATTAGTGAAGCAGAATTAACCCTAAAACAACAAAAACATAGAACACAAATAAATGCATAATGTAATATAAGTAGTGCTGATGAAAATGAATAAAAATCACTCTAGACCCTTTATTTAAAAAGTATAAAAAGACAATACATTTATTCATCGATAGAAGAGTGAGAAGTTTTACTTGTTTTTTAACGTAATAATGCAGGTTTGAAGAAACTGTCAAGTTTTGTCTGAACAGACAAGTGACTCATCTGCCTATATAAATGCCGTGTATTTTTTAAAGTATGTACTCAGCTGTGAACACCATTTTTTCATATTTCCGTCCGGATTAAGTGTAACCGGATTAGCGAGAATTTACTATATGTTTCACGGATCATAACCATCATAGTTGCCACCGTGTCCATCATGACATCTGTCGTTCGCCCCATATGTAATCGCTGCAGTTGATACAACGTAATTCATTATTCATTTTTATACTGTTTGGGAAGGGGGCACGCGGTAGCGTAGTTGGTTGAGGCATTATGCTATAAGCCGGAAAGTCCTGGGTTTAAGTCCCGATGAGATCATTGGATTTTTTTCAGTTGACCTAATCCTTCCAGCCGCACTATGGCCCTGGGATCGACTGAGCCTCTAACAGAAATGAGTACCAGGAATTAATTAAATAATTTTCCTGGGGAGTAAAGCGCGGCCGGCACGTAGAGCTGACAACCTTACTGCCATCTGTGAGCTGATTGTCTAGATAATGTGGGACCCTTAACGTCTCACAACCCTATGGGCCTCCACGGCCTGTTAGAGGGATAGCTTTACTTTTTTTACTATATTGTTTGGGAACTGAAGTGAAAAAGGTTAAGTTGTTCCTGTGCTTAACTAATTAAGCACCACGCCATGAAGACGTATGGGAGAGTGGACGAATAGATCGGGCACCAGCTGGAGGTGAGTGGTTAGCGTCACGCCCCGGCCGCTTTACACCCGGAGGAAACGGACCCCGGTACCCATTGGATAGGAGGCTGGGTGGGTCCAAGAGCTGGTCAGGACGACGTGGAGAAGGGAAAATTCTTGACCCTACCGGGGCTCGGGTTATTTTTTAAAAACAGAAGTGTCCGGTCTTTCGGTAACAGCACTTAGTTCGGCTAAAGTCTACATACCTAAAATGTTTAAAATTTGGAACTTGTGTGATGTGACACCGTGTAGTGTCGTAGACAGATGCTAGAGTTGGTTCCGTCTTGCTCCTCTACACTGGAGAACGGGGCGTCGCATACTAGAAAACCGTCATCTTAACATACTCGGCCTTAAGATCTTCAGAGCTCATATATTGAGTGTGTATTACAACATGGCAGTATTATTAACAGAGGCACGCTGTAACGTAGATGAGGCACTGTTCTACAAGCTGGAAGGTCTGGGGTCGACTCAGCCTTTAACAGAAATAAGTATCAGGAGTCTTCCTTTGAATAAAGTATGGCCGACGCGTAAGGCTGACAACCTCGTCGCCATCTGTGAGCCCACTGTCTAGAAAATGTAGGAGCCTCTTCCTCTCACAGCCCTATGGGCCTTCACGGTCTGTTACAGGGATACCTTTACTTTTTCATTATCTCCCACGTAATCTTCCTGGGGGGGGGGGTAAAGTGCGGCCGTCGCATAAGGCTAACAACCTCGCCGCCATCTGTTAGCCGATTTTCTAGAGAAAATGTTGGAGCCTCGGCGTCTCACAACCCCATGGGACTTCACGGCCTGTTACAAGTACAGCTTTACTAGTTAATGTGCTGACGCATACATTGGGTGTGCTGCACTCTGCAACCAGCCAAGTCCCGGTTCAGAAACAAAGACCGAGAATGTGATAATGTGCTGCCTGGTCTGGGCTGCCTCACGTTTCAGGAGGCGGTGAAAGAGCAATGATGGAGTGATGATTAACAGGGAAAATCTCGAAGGAACTCGGAGAAAAAACATCCACCACGAACATGACGTGAATCCGCCCGAGACTGACAGAGGGGTGCGATAAGGAGGCACCACCTAACCACCTGGGCTCTGCCGTGGTCCATAATGGTTACCGTTTACAGATATATGGTGGAGCTCTTTCAGGGTAATCTGGTTTTCATGTTGTGCCGAAGGGGCAGAGCCCCAGGCAAGTCCGGAGCTTGAAATATTCAGTGTTCTTAGCCCGAGGGTCGACAGATGTTAAGACCTGAAGGTTCGCAGTGGGATAGGCAGGGGCTGCCACTTTCCGCTGTGCAAGAGATTAATCTCAGGTTTCTAC